ATATATAAGCTCTTGTTGCTGGTCTGCAACCTAGACACTGGGCCACTGATGGGGGAAACAGAACTGTACTGTCACCTCCCCCCAGTGGGTAATACTTATGTGACTTGGTCAGGATTGTTCCGTTCCTGTGTTTCTAGCCCCCGCAGATGTGGCACTCCAGTGTGTGTGGGAAGCTGCTCTTTAGGCAAGACAGTTTCTTTCGAGAGCTTTATTTTTAGATCCCTCCTCCCTGCCTATCCTATGTTAGAGCTTTCCCTGCCTGGGCAAGCTGAGTACGGTATTGGCTCCCGATCTAGAACACCTTCTGTGGCCCAGGCAGGGAATACGGTCAAACTAACTCAGGGGAAGAGAGGAGAGACTATGACTCTGTTTCTAGTGAATCCTTTTATATAATCTGTCTGTAGTTACCCTTGTCTAGGTGACATCTGTATCCTCTGAGGAAAGCAGATACGATTTAGAATAGAAACTGTGACCTCTAGACTCAGGGGAAATGTTTTATGGCTGGTAGTGAGCTGAGGTCCTTTGCTAGGCTAACTCCTATACAGAGTCTGAGTTGCTCTCTTCCCTTCTGTTCCTGTTTTTAGCCTTTCACTCTATACTTGGTTGTTTTTCTTTTGCATGTGAACATATGTCAGTTTCTCCCATTCTTAAAAAGAAAAGAAAAAAACCCGTGATACTAAGAGCCGCTTAGACTGTTATCTTCTCCCTCTTCCTTTGCTCACCGCATCTGCCCAATTGTATACCAGGAAACACTAGTTCCTCAAGATGTTAATAAGTGTGTGAAAAATCAGTTCTCTGGTCACTGGGCAAATGCAGACTTAAACAGGAAAACGGAGTTCTTTACTGTGATTAATGTCCAAAAGGGACTGTCTGGGCAGTGTTTCCCCAAAAGATTTGAACCAAGGAGTCTTGTTTGGAGAAACCTGTCTTACATCCAGGCCAGGAGATGCTAGAGTCATCTCTAGGTACTTCTTCTACTTCTTCCAAAAACTTCTTCAGTGGCCTCGTGGGAAATAAGCACCACCATTTCAGCATGGTGGTGTGGTTTCCAGCAGCCCCGGAAGGCTCCAAAGGAGCAGAGGCCCAACTGTTGGTCAGGCAGGGGTCAGTGGTGACCTCTTGGTGATCAAATTCAGTGACTGGCTCACTGGTCCTCTGACATTGGTCTGACACCTTCACTACATCTCTTTCCACAAGTCACCTGCTTTCTTCTTTAAAGGCTTCCTGGCAGTCTTGCTGACCATGCCTGAATACCTTTCATTAGCTCTGCCCCCCAAAAGGCGATGTCATTTATTTTTACAGCTTCAGAGCCTGCCATTGTAAATGACAGCCCTGATCTCTGTACCAAACTCTAGACCGGCATATCAGAGACTTGCTGGACATGTGCATATATAAAGCTGCCCTCCCAGTGTTCAAATAAGCAGCATGTTCAAAATGCGCTTCCCTCCCCACCACCGCCCAGTCACTTTCCTTAAGTTAATGGCCTCACCCTATCACGTGGCAAAGGGATTAGGTTTGTTCTGTCAGCCAAGGCACATTTCAGCACAGCACAAGGGAGAAGGAGCTCATGAGGAAAACTGTCTGAAACGGAATGGACTACTTCCAGAATGAGTAAATGTGATCTTTTGTCACTGTCGAGGTTCAGAAGAGGCTCAGTGACTGCCTAAGTGTTACAGAGGGGCTGAAACTAAAGCAATGATCTGCTGGATCTGATCTGCTCAAGCTTTTGGCAGTTGTCTTCAGGTTAAAGGGGAACAAACATTTAGGGACAAACACCCAGTATATGTCACAGCCTTTGTTATTCTCTTTAGATGGCTTTTAATAGCCTTTTAATAATGCTCCAGAGTACACACTATGATTCTTGCTCTGCAGATGAGAAAACTGAGACCCCAATTAGACAGCTAAGAAGTTCCCATATTGGAATACTGACTGGGTTGCTCCGACGATGCAGTATGATTCTTTCAGCTCCTCCCAGCTAGCTGTTAGAAATTTGGTGGAGTGTAGCAAAAATGTATATCCCAAGCTCCTCTTCTAGTAATTTGGTTTCACCAGGTTCAGGGAAATGTATGTCTTTAACAAGTAACTAGGATGCTCCAATCTGACTGCTTGTGTGCCACAGTAGACATTAATTTCTGTATCATGAGAGCAACTAAACACGTTACTTCTTTTTTAATTTAATTTAATTTAATTTAATTTTATCTGTCTTTTTGAGACAGGGTCTCACTATACAGTTCAGGCTGGCCTTGAGCTCACTTTGTAGCCCAGGCTGGCCTCGAACTCACAATGATCCTCCTGCCTCAGCCTCCCAAGTGCTGGGATTACAAGAGTGTGCCACTGCGCCCGGCCTAACGTTACTTCTTTAATTCCTGGGTTGTGGAGAATTTGGGCACAGGGCAGGGGTAGATTCATGGTGGCAGCAGAAAAGATTGAGCAGCTCGTGGTTAAAATGAAGGCAACCTTTTCAGTTTGGGTTTCACCTCCAATTCTTTTAGCTGTTCTTTCCCCTCTGACATGTTTCTCCTCCCTTCCCTACTCTTGAGTATCTGTCACCCTCTGGAATGCACAGGTTTGCAGAGCTAATTTGAAGTAAATAATGCCTTCTTACAGCTGCACTGAGGCTAAGCGGGTAAAACCCTAGGGAGCTGCAGCTGTACTAACCATGGGGTAATGGTATTTCTGGAGCAAAAGCAAGAGGAAGAAGGAAAGATAAGTGTTGGGGAAATGGAACTTGGTTTAAAGCTTCAAAAGCTTTAAAGGTGGCGCACCTCTATAATCCCAGCACTGGGGAGGCTGAGGCAGGAGGATCACTGTGAGTTCGAGGCCAGCCCGGGCTACAAAGTGAGTTCAAGTCCAGCCTGAACTGCATAGCGAGACCTTGCCTCAAAAAACCAAAGAAGGAAGGAAGAAAAGATGGCAACAAAGAAAAAGTCTTCCCACCCTTCACCATACTAGAATCAGATCTTTTTTCTAATTTTTATTTTTATTAGTACAAGTTTGCAGTAGTAGTGATTACATTCATTATGGGCATTTGGTACATAGAATCACATCTTAAGTGCATCAGCAAGGTAAGCCAAGCCCCTCTGTCTGCTCAGCCTAGGACTTTTGCTCTGCAGATTAATTTACCCACTGGAGGCGACCACAGAAGCTACCAATCTTGAGTCTTTTGAGTCTCGGGCTCAAGGTTGGGATGATTAGGTGTATAACTCAGGTCATTTGCACGGGAAGGCAGTACAAAGATGCTGGTAGATTAGAGTGCCGTGAAAATTTTTGATTTTATTTCTCTATTTTGTGAATGAATGAATGAAGGAAGGAAGGATCTTGTCTCTAAAGGTTGCCTAGAGGCTCAGAGTACAGTTGTAGGCATAATAGCCTTTGCAAATCTGTGAGGCTAGGCTGGCTGTATCCTTTGCAACCCCAGGACAGTAGGCAGACAGTTGGGGAGTCCTAGCCTCCTGACTGGCCATCTGCTATTCCAGGCCTCTTC